TGTGGCTAGTTGTATCCTTGTGAAATTGATGTAATATCGTATTTATCTGAATAAAGCTAAGTGCCGGGGACCTAAGTAGTTACCTTAATATTAAAAAAAAAAAAAAAAAAAGTAAATCTAACTTCAAAATATACATGATATATATGGATTCTTTGGTGATAGGATGAATGTCTTACTAAAAACTGCAAAAAAGTTTATCATTCATGATTCAATTGAACTAAATTTGTATACTATGAATTAAAATGTTTAACATATAATACTGAGTATACTAAGCATTTTGCACTTTTATTAATATGTACATTGTATTTTATACAGTATGTAGTTACTCAAAAATATGCAATATGTATTTGATGGTTATTTTTTATATACTGTCCCAAATATTGTTATAAGTGCTTTTCTTTAAACATATCTAAACTTTTTATAATGCTTGTTGACAAGGGTCAACTGATCAAAAATAGGGTGCCAGAATTCTGTGGTGCATAATTCTGCTCGCTCTAAAAATATTTTTTTGTAGTCTCTGTAAAAAAAACATGACTTTAATCATTTTTAAAAACCAAATACAATACAAAAAAATATTTTTAAAGCAAGCAGAATTATGTAACGCAGAATTCTGGACGCTCTAATCAAAAAGACAGAGAAGTGGTCAGGGTCACACACCATGTGCTATAACCCTGCCCGAAAGAATATCAGACCACATTAATACAACTATGTAACAAAAAAGCAACTGATCTCAATCAACATATAAGGAGTGACAAATAAATCACTATTAATATTCTTCTCTTTTCCCTTGCAACAACCAAGTATTATAACTATCATTTTCTTGACCCAACTCATTCCACCACACATAGGAGTCTCCTGATTCTGCCATTTTCTTATTTAACAGCTGGCCTGCTTCGAGCAGGTGGGAAACCACCACTGATGCTGCTTCTTACTCGTTTTACTGTTATGATGATACCTAGATGCAATCTCACTTGCTAATTTTTCTGTGAGCATATCATTGTTTCAGCTCAAATTACTTAGCTCAAATTACTTAGTTCAAATTACTTAGCTCAAATTGCTCAGTTCACTTACAATGTATTCTGTAAACTTAAAGTCTTTTAATTGAAATTTCTGGTACTTTTGGCTAGCTGATATTCTTCTAATTACATAACCAGTTGGATCTATACTTTTCAGATTTCAGGTTTGTGACATACTTTATATACAATATGTACATATATAAAATAATCAACTTTTTTAGAGCCTAAAAAATTTCCAAAATTAAGTATGTAAGTGTTTCTATGTACCATAAACGGCTATATAAAAGACCCGGGTCTGTTACATTCTACCAATTTTAAAAACCTATAGTAGACCCAGGTCTAATATATAGCTAAGAGTTTGTATTCTCAAAAGTAAAAATTTGAAATGCATTTGTAATATACAATCTAGATGTTTGAAAAGAATTGCATTTTAATCAAGAAGATCCTAAGATCTGCATACGGGTCTAGTACCTGGTCTTTTATATAGTCATTTACAGTTCTACGCAGATGAAAATATAGGGTTCTTCTTGAAATGATCTATTATACTACAGAACCATTTTTTTAATATTAAATATTTAAGCAAAATTGGCTACAAAAAACTTTAGTTTAATAAAGAATAGCAGTAATATAACATATTTAAATGTTTTCAACGTTACTAATCATTTTATTTTGTATTACCAGATATTCATCAAGGAATATCTGTGGATAATACAGTAATATGTAAATGCACTAAATACTATAAATATTCTAGTCTAATAATATACAACATATCATGGCACCCAATTATTAATCAATAAAATAAATAATCCTTTTTAGTTACGTACAGTACAAGACTTTATTCTTATCATTATATGTAGCAGTAGCAGTTTGTGTTAATACTATAGTATATACGTATGTACATACAGACAAACATATGGACATACATGATGTATATAATATAAAGAGAACAAAAAATATGAATAAAGTATTCAATATTTTACTACAACTTGATTTAATGCATAAAATAAAAATACTAATGCATAATGTGTATGATGAATAAAACAGGTCAAAAAAGCTGTAGATATCAAAAATATACAACACTAACGCAGAGTACCTTTGGCCGTTGAAAACAATCAGATCAAAATAAACTAGCAGATAACGTGAAGGTTAAAAAAACCCATGCATAAATAATTGAAGAAGTGAAAAAAAAAGACTATCAAAAATCACAGAATTAAAGTGGTCCAATGGCAGGTTTTTGTTTGTAATATATAGATTATTTTACATAAAAGAAATAAAAACAATGGCAGATAAATGAATTGAAAAAATGAATATTATATTGTAGTTTATTATGCTAAATCGAAGGGTGAGATAATTGTATAAATATAGTTGTCAACTTTTTAAATTACTATCCTGTGTAATTTATTTATTAACAGCTTTAAAAAAAATTATATCTATTGTAGACAATATATTTAAATTTGGAATAGCTGTATTATTTTAATCTATTGTATACAGTAGTACTGTATCTCTAAGTATAAAATTGTTTTAAAAGTCAGAAAACATAAATTCAAAAATTTACCAGACTTACTATATATGAGTTAATTGAAGGCAAACCAAATTCAAAAATAAACATTACTACTGCAATATTGATATAAATAAAACTGAGAAATAGGCATTTAGATGCTAAGAACAAAGAGATTCAAAAAAGTTAGAATGTCTGAAGAATTAACGTATAGTCTTTTGCTAAGGCACAATCATAAAGTCAAATAATTAAAACTTAAATAAGGTCAGTGATGAAAAATTTGAAATATGCGATGTAATAAATATGTAATATAGATAATCATTATAATACAGAATACAAAAATTTCAATCTGTAACTTTAAAATTTTTAGCTCATGGCAACAAGCGAAGCAACCGATGAAAGTTCAAAGAAAAGACATAGGCTTTTTTCAGGAAATTGCGATGAATTTAGTTCAGAAATTGAAGACAATCAAGTAACAACAACAGATATTACTGCAGTGACAGATACTAGTTCACAAATCTCAATAGTTACATGTTTATCAAGTTCAAAAAATATACCACAGAGTAGGCGTCAACCTCGTCCATTCTCTGAAGTATGGGATTACTTTAACAAAGGAATTGAAAAAACAATGGACACTATGAGGCTACTTGTAGTTATTGCAAGAAAAAATGGGCATGAGAAAAACCTATACAACTGGAAGCACATTTATCAAATGACTGCATTAGTTGTCTAGATGATATATCTCTATTGAAAAGAAAAGGTTGCAGAAAGAGATCCAATTTATACTCGAAAACCTAAAAAAAACTGTGTTTTACCAAATTCTATATCACAAACAACAATGAATTCTCATTATGCATCAGACCATCCACTGTCTAAAGCTATAACTAACCAGTTTGATTGAAAAATAATCAAAGCTTGGATAATGGCTGGAATTTTTTTTAATATCATTGACAATCTATTTATTCGAGATATACTTACAGAGCTTAATCCTGCATATAGCTCACCTTCAAGAACAACTTTATTAAACTGATTGTTTGATAAAGAATTAGTACAGATAAACAAAGCAGTTGATGATGAATTAGAAAAAGCAGACTATTTGATTTAGGTTAGTATTATTAAATATTATTTGTGCTTTAGATAAAATTTCATATTTTCTAAAATAATCAATTAGATTTAATAATTTTCAATTACTAAGCTTTAAATTTATTAAATTTTATAAAGCTTTAGATGGTTGGACATTGCCATTGAAGGATTCAATTTACAATTACATTGTTACAACAGATACTCGAAAAGAATATCTAGTTGGATTAAAAAACTATTCAAATCAATTTCATACTGGAGAATTTCTGGCAAACAAAATATCAGAAGTTATTGAAGAACTTGGTTCAGACAAATTCGCGGCTGTTGTAACAGATGCAGCATTAAACTGTAATGTTGTATGTAAAATGACACAACAAATGTATCTACATATCTGGAATGTTAGATGTGCCGCACATGCCATCAACCTTATTGTAGCTGATTTAGTTGAATTAGAGAGCATAAAAAAATTAATTAGTAATTGTAGAAAAATTAACCATTTTTTTAAAAATTCATATGCAAGTCAATTACTACTTACAAAAGGGCTTATAGATATGAAAATTAAGGGTGGTGGGCTAAAAACATAGGTAAAAACCTGATGGGGATCTTTATACTTAAACACTGATTCGATGCTTCGTGTATGTCCTGTATTTGATTGGGTAAATAATAGTTTAATAGAATATTATTAATTATAAATTATTTGCTAATAAACTTTTATTATTAGATACTTTCTGATCATGGTGAATCAATTACTAATGAAGAAGTTAGTGATTTAATATCTAGTGAAAGTTTTTTTACTACATTTCATTTTGTGCACTCGGTGTGGCAATCTATTAAAAAAATTATTCATATGTTAGAGGCTAATGATGCAACATTAGCTGACTGCTTCATTTATCTGATTAAATTAGCCATAGCAATTAATAACTTATCTGATATGAATAGCTTTAAAATTCTAGCCGTTCATATTTTTAATTGGTATTATAAAGAATTTTTATATCCACTTTATATTTTAGTCTATTATATTTATCCAGACTATAGAGGTAAAATTTTAGGATAATCTATAGATTAGTTTTAAGCGTATTATAGTATTTAATTGATTAATTTCTAGAAAAACATTTAAATAATAATGGATTTCATATAGCTGCACTTACTGCTATTGAGCTTTGGCAAAATCTTGGTCATACCCAATCTGAAGGTAAAGAATTGGTTGCACAATTGTGACATTTTGAAACACAATAGCTACTATATAATCTTTTTTATGTTGCTAGTATAGATACTTCAAAACTTTGATGAAGTTCTTTCAAAAATCAACCTTAGTATTTAGCTGAATTAGTGCATAGGATATTTTCAATTAATCTTATACAAGCAGTATGTGAAAGAAACTTTTTAATATTAAAATGGATTTTGGAAGACTGACGAATGGACCTGAGTTTAAATAGATTAGAAAGAATAGCTAAAATTAGACAATATTATATAACTAATATTCGACGTGAATTAAGTTTTTTTGAAAAAGAGTTAACAGAAAAAGATCTTCAAGATGCATGTAATATTGCATCAGTTGCTAATATAATAAATTGTGAAGAAGAGAACCAAATGAGATTTAATGAGACGAATTTATTAGATGATATAACATCTAATAATTCTACAACCCTGCTAATTGAAGATATTATTGATTTGATAGCTGAAAATAATTTTAGACCAGTAGAGATAGCTCGAATTATTTCTCCTGCTGATTTGAATTACGATTCTTGAGAAGTACTAAATAGTTTTTTAGAACAAGAAAATTAAGAGATTGTCTAATAATAGTATAATATTAACTATCTAAAATCTGATACCAGTAGAATATTATAAGCTAGTGCTAGGATTAAAAATATTATTGAAACATGTATTGTCATAGAATAAGTATTCATATCAAAAATCTGCATAGATAGATTATTTTTTGAAACATATTACGTTATAATAAAGGAATTGGGAAATTAAAATTGAAAGTAATGAATATATAGCATTTTATTAACTACTTAAGTTTTCTAATATGAATAATGATAATGGAGAATAAAAGTTAAAAAGATGAACATAGGCACTATCAAATAGCTATCAAAATGAGTAGCACTTTTGCAAGATTATAAGTTAGTTATTATCTAAATAGAATTTTAGTAATGAGAGATTCAATAATACAAATAAGTTTTTTAATTTTGGTTGCTTTCAATTAAGATCTTGTTTACACAGTGAAAAAAATTGCAGAGTAATTTACGTAGTATATATATGATTTTTGGTATATATAAAATTCAATAAAATTTATAGAATTATACTTTATTAGATTAAAAGTTACTAATATATACATAATTTGAGTTATAACAATTTTTTGATATAAATTAGTAATTTTCTTGCAATAAAGTTATATTTATCACAAAGAATATTAAAGTAGTTGTGTTTGAGTGTGCTGTTTTTTTTTTTTGTTAATAAGTCTGCATTAACATTATAGTGGCAAATTAAGTGAAAACAAAACCAAGTATATCGATATATGGTATTATAATATACAGCAATATATATGACATACAATATACAACTTATATACAGCATACGTCTTATATATAGCATTATATTTTATATACAGCATTACGTTTTATATACGGCATTATAACATACATCTTATATACAGCATTATAGCATATGTCTTATATATAGCATTATGGCATACATCTTATATACGACATTATGGCATACGTCTTATATATGGCATTACGGCATATGTTTAATATACGGCATACGTCCTATATACGGCACTATGGCATACGTCATATATATAGCACTACAGCATACATCCTATATATAGCACTATAGCATATGTATAGCTGTACATTATATGGCACTATATATGGCTATATGTCATATAGCACTATATATGGCTATATGTCATATGTCACATTATACATCACATCAAAATGTAACATATAGCTATAACATTTGACATGGAGGTAACTACTCTTGACCTGGCAAATGTCTGTAGTACTAGTAGCAACATGTTTGTTACCAAACAAAACACATAGTTGCAATCTACCAGGTTAACCAAATTTGAAAGGAGTAAACAATGCTGATCTTTTGACAGGAGTAAGCTGTTTTGCCTACATTTTTTGAAAATTTTGTTGTAAGTACAAGTGGGTAATAGTAAAGAGTATAGATCTTGTACTTTTTTTAAAAGAGAGTATATTTTTTGTCAAGAATAATAAAACAAGTAGATCTGAGTATACTGCTAGTATTCTTTTTGGTAAGTGATAAACTCTGAACTTGTTAGCAAGTAGCATATAAGAACTACTTCTAAATAACAAGTGCTATCCCCATAGTAAGTAATAAGCTCTAAACCTATTAGCAGATAGTATATAAGAACTATCTCTAAATAATTTATAATTTTTTTTAGTTTTATATCCTTCTTTTCTAGCATAGTTTTACTGTTTTTATTAAAAATTTTTGGTTTGAAAAATTGGTTCAAGTGATTGTTAGAAAGAGTTAATAAATTTATATGAGATCTAAAATTAAATATTTTATTTAAAAAATATATAGCTAAAAACAATATTTAAGATTTTATTAAAAAAAATTAAAATTTTTAATAAAAACACAGATTTTTAACAAAAATTTTTTAAAAAATTTTTTTAATATTAAAATAAATTTCAGTATTTGAAGCTTCTAAAAAATATTTTTTTGGATTTTTTAAAAATTTTTATAGCAAACTTGTTTTAAAATCAAAACTCTAGTATTAAATTTTTATAAGTTTTATTTATAAAATTTTAATACTAAGGTTTGATCTTAGAACAAGTTTGCTATAAAAATTTTTAAAAAATTCAAAAAAAGATTTTTTAGAAGTTTTAAATATTGAAATTTATTCTGATATTAAAAAAATTTTTTTAAAAATTTTTGTTAAAAATTTTTATTATAAATAAAAATTTTTAAAGTTACTATATTTTATTTAGTGTTAGACAAATTAGTAGTTAACCAAAAATTTACTAGTTAAATTGGTCTGGTCAAATTGGTTAAATAGTCAAACTAACCAAATTGGTCAAATCTATTATTTTTTATTTTTTTTTTTTGTATTAAGGTGAGGCCTTGCTCATATCTTTATTTGGTAATTTATTAGAGTAATTATAATAAAAACCCCGTTTGTACAA